GACAAAACATCAATATGAAAACAGCTGCCAGGATTCAAAAACAGTGAAGGAAAGTATGACTGAATCCCTTAGGAAGATGGCAGGGGAGTTATGGATGTCACATGCAGATTGAGAGAGACATTGTGGACCTCACTGATCACGCTGTAGTTTAGCATAAACTGCGGGGAGATGGCTAAGCATATGGAATGGAAAATTGATGGTAACAGAATTGCCTTGGCATTTTTAATGAGAATAGTCACTTGTTCCCTGGTGTTTATGTTGGGGCTGAAGAGGGGGCTCAGATGTTAAGAGCACTGGCTGCTCTTCCTAAAGGTCCTGAGTTCAGTTCCACGTGGTGACTCAAAACCATCTAAAATGAAATCTAGTGCCCTCTTCTGGTGTGTAGGCGTACATGCAGGCAGAACACTGTATAAATAATAAATCTTTTTTTAAAAAAACTTTTTTTAATTTGCACAAACTTATGTAAGATTACAGTTTTAATTAGCATAAATAGTAAATTAAAAAGGAATAGCATACAAACCCTCTCAGTGTGGATGTGTATGGTGGGGGAACCTATGCTGGGAAAATGTTAACTTTATACAAGAAATGGATCCAACCCAAGTGACTTAAGAATGTGTAACTTCAAAAACAAACTCTTGGACCCAGAAGACAGGTCAGTGTGTGGCTCTGCTTCAGAGGCCGTCTGTAAACACACAATCTCCAAACTGGCCTCCAACTGGGATGCTTTCCAAATTTTTGCCATGTATTATATGTATTTAGTGACTTTGTTTAGTGACACTAAACATTCTTGGGCCAGACTACTAAAGTTTCTGCTTCATGAAGTTTGGTGTATGGTTTTTAGAGTTACATTTCCACAAGACCCCACATACTCCTAACCCGGTTCTTCCCTCGGTGTTTGAAACTGTGCCATGGGCACATCTCTCTTCCAGAGCATAACAAACGATAAAGAACAGGACACGCGGTCATTTCTCTTCACACTCTGCTGATGAGGACTTAGTCATTTTGCTACTGAAAGAGGCTGAGAAGTTGACAGCGCTGTGACCACAGACAATTATTTCCACATGGAAGAGTGAAAGAAAAGCTTGATGTGAGAAAGTAGAGTCCTCAGCAGGAGATAAAATGCTTGAGGTTTCCTATGAAAGCTCTGCACTGCGAATGGGGCTCTGGATGCAAAGTCTGTGTGAGATCTCAAGCCACTCCTATTTCTTCACACTCTCATCCCATTATATTCAACATAAATTACATGTAAAGTCTTATAATGTCTTATCATGCTGTTACATTTCTTTTATTAACTCTTAGAATTAAAAGACTTCATGACGCAGAACTTCCTATAAACCTTTTTACTAATGGTCTGGTGCTCCTATTCCCAACTACTGAACTGTAAGAAAATCCAGAAGGACTAGTGCTGTGTCTCTATTTGTTCATTATTTTGAAGCCTCTCATAATAGATGCCACACAAGTAAACATTCAATAAATATACATTTACTAGAAAGAATATTTTGAAACAACGCAACACACTATTTTTCTATGATGTCTACTTGCATCCCATCAACTCATGAAATATTGTTTATGTAGTTGTGTTCAGCAGCTGTGCCTACTTATATTGCTCAAATTCCTACATTTATCCCAATTATTCTATCAGCAAGTGTTTATGATTCATTTGATCATAGACCTTCCCATCTAAGTAGGACTCTATTATATCCTACTTGCTGTTATTATCTGTGCCTCCTAATGTTACCAACATCCTTGAGGTGATTTTCCAATGGGTCAATAGACAAATGGCAATGTAGACAATCTCAAGTTAAGGCTAGAAGAGAGGATACATTTTCTCTACAGAGGAACTTCAGCTTCTATGGAATGAAGACAATGCAGCCAGTCCTGATGAGACCTGATAGGCTAATGTCATATGGAAGGGAGGAGGACTTCCCTATCAGTGGACTGGGGTGGGGGCATACAGGGAGAAGAGAAAAGGAGGGTAGGTGGGATTGGGAGGAGACAAGAGAGGGGGTTACACCTGGGATACAAAGTGAATAGATTGTAGTAAATAAATAAACAAGTATTAAAAGATGTCTTTAGACAAAAAAGTTCTGAAAGTTTTTTAAAAAGCCTTTTGAATCTAATAGAATTAAAATTGTAATTCCTGTAAAATATTTTTCAATTTACAAGTAGAAGGTATAATATTATATATGAAATTACTGATTTAGACAATTGTCTAGAAGCTGATTTTTGGTCATCCTAGTCTTCCTAATTTCTCTGAGCTAATGAGGGCACTGAGACAGAAGGGTAGGAATCCAAAGTTGCTGTCCTTTGCAACCTGTTCAAACCACATTGTAAAACAAAGCGGATTTCTATTCATTTAAAGTAAACTAGAGAGGTGGCGGCTTACCCAAGGAAGAGCACAGCAACTGTCTGTCCAATACTAAATGCTTTGCCCTGAAAGCATGCACACAAGTAACATTATACAGACTGAAAAGGTTATATTTAGGAATACATATATATGCATATATATGTATATTCATATCTACATATAACAATGGTTAATAAAAAAGCATGGCCACCAATTTGAAATAGAGCAAGGAGGGCATATAAGAGTATGGAGAGGATAAAGGGAAGGGAGAAATTATGTCAGAATATCATGATCTCAAAATAAAAGAAAAAATAGAGAAATATAATCAGGTAATTATGAGTATGCATATGCTTTAAATCCTAAACTCATCAAGAGAAGTTTAGTTGAAAGAATAATGCTGGGTCAGCTTTTAAATTTTTAAGAATCCTATAACCAAATCCCTTTTTCAAGCAGCAAACCTTTTTTTTTTCTTCTTGAAAATAACTATAGGTTTCTCTCTGTCACATCCTTCACTCTGCCCACTCACTTGCTTTAGATACTCCTGAGGTTTACATACATTTTACTGTATTTGAAAGCTCTAGGGTTCCTCCTAGAAAATGTCAAACTCTAATCATCTGAATGTTATATTCCATCTGGATCCAAGGAAATACGTACACTGTGATAGGAAGATCTTTTCCCCTGATGCGTGGGTTTAAGGAAACATCAATTCCGTGAACCTAAGGCACTGAACAAGGTGGATATTTAGAGAAGTTTACCCTTACACTAATATATAAATTGTGATGGAAAGTTATGATTTCAATTTCTTCAAATATCATCACTTGAGTATACATAAAATACTTTTCAAAACAGAATTATGTTGTTTTACATGTATGCATACATGATTATTCATAAAGGGCTTACTTATAAATAGTTGTATATTTATTTTATGTATTTTCAAGTCTCACTGTGTTGCCCAGACTGGCAAGGAACCACTGAGATTAAGAGCTTCACTATTAGCCTCTCTATTGGCTGAGATTACATGCTTGTATTACCATACATGAGTATCTATTTATGTACCTTCCCTTTGTCTGAAGAGAGAGAGATTTTTAGAAAATAAATTCTGGAATCTTTTTTTTTTTTCCTTTCTGGAATCCCGAGATTGAACACTTTCTCCTGGCATTAAAAGATTATTAGTGTAACAGTCATCAGGGTCAATGTGACTTATTGGTTGCTAAGTTGATAGGCAGTAGGTTCTCCTTCCAGGCCTGAATAGAACTCCTTGCTTCAGAAAGATCGAAAACTCATTTACAGAGCATTAAGTATAAATAATAAATTACATAATGAAAATATTTCTTAAAAATAATGAAATCATTGCTTAACATAGTTTTGTCGCTTTCTACTCCTTTAAGAGAAGTTTAATAAGGTAGTCAGTCACTTCTGTGAACACATTGGGCACAGCAACACAAAGTAGCAGCAATAAACACGACTTTAAAGATTGGAGAGCATGACGATTTTCGTAGAAATAAAGCGAAGTGTTTGTATGATAATGTAAAGACAGAGGGGCAATGCTGTCTGGCCCTTTCTGCAGGGTTCCATTTCTTATAGCATGTGTTGGTGAAGTATTTTGTTTAGATATAAGCATGTTTTTGTTTTGATTTCAGGTGTGTGATGTGGGATTGATTCAGATGGTCCACAGCAGCAGCTTACTTGTTCTGTGTGGGCTCTGAGAGGCGATCTTTGCCAGGTGCAGATAGTTTAAATCTAAGGACTCTGGAGAGAAAATGAGTGCCAGAGCCCAGGTAATGTTGGGGAGCGCTGAGAAAGAACAAGGCTGCTGCTGCTTTTCTCCTGCAGCTCCTGGATGCTGTTGATGCAGTGAGACAAGAAGTTGAAGATCTCCTGAAAAGAGGACTGGATTGGCTCCAAGGAACCTGAAGACCCTAACCAGCAAGAAGCAACTAAGAAAACTGCACCCCCTCTCCCACTAAACGTTTTTCTCTCCTACCTGTTGTTGGGGTGTAGGAAGTTAATTTGGTAAAGTAAGAAGAAAGAGATATAAAAAAGTGTAAATAGAAGTTTTTAAAAATTACACCAACAGAATTTATATTATATTATTATTCAAGTAATTGAAACTTAACTCATGGAATATAAAGCCTGAATTATGGTAACATCTTATATATCTTCTTCATATGTTTTAAACATATTATTAAATTTTAAGAAATGAAAATTTATGTATTTTATTTTAATCAGACAGGTTAAACTTAATCCCATTATATATAGCCAAGGATATCACTGAGAACTCCTAGTTCTTCTGACTTCAACTCTCCAATGTTAGAATTACAGATCAGTTGCACCAAGCCTGGTATATGCTGTGCAGGGGATTAAAGCTAGGGCCTCTGAATGCCAGGAAGAAGCTACCACTTGAGCTACATCAAGATATATATGATGTGTATACATGTGTGTCTATCACCCAAGACAAAAATAAAACAAGTGCTTAGAAATTATCCTGATGAGATTTTAAAATATCAAAACAGATTGTATTTCCTTACTGTAATTTTTAAATATTACTTCAAATATTTCTGCTCCTTACAGTTTAATAGAGAAAGATTGGTTTGCTAGGCTGATTCAATTCAATCTTTACGAAGAAGTTGGTTGAAGAGAGAAAACTACATACCTTTTCTTGATACTGCCTCCTTGAAGAATCCAAAGACTGGATCAAAGCTGTGGCATGGCCAACAAACATTGCATAGCAGGTGGCCCCCACAATCATGCTTAGCATGGTGATCCAGAGGTCAGACATGCTGACAGGGGCTTGGGCGCCATAGCCGATGCACAGCATGTGACTCATGGCTTTGAAGAGTGCGTAGGAATACTGCTTCCCCCAAGAATCATTCTGAAACAAGAGAAAAGAGAAAGTGAACTGAGACATTGGGATAATAAAAGGAAAAAATAAGTGCCACTTATCTGCAGAAGCACTGGAATTTAGCAAGTATGCAAAAACTTCCTGCTGGATGCTAACCAAATGACCCAATGATGTTCAAATCTGGCCTATTAGGATAAAACAGAAATGACACCATTTGTAGTTCATGCATTCCTAGCCAGTTTTAAATTGGCTGTTTTTAAAAGTAAAATTCCAGTTGGAAATATTGTACAAGTGTCATCACAAAATACTATTGAGAATAAATGTTGAGTCTCATTGAATGTTTCCAGAGAATGACAGTTCTCTAGTAATTATGTTTGCAAGCTGAGACAGGTGCAGGTCAGTCCAAGCAATGAATCCCAATAGAAGAACTTTTGTTAATAATATATAGTGCAGACTTTATGACTACAACTTGATATATGCGTAGTCTTTAGTACTTTTTGTGTTTTATAAATGAAAAACAAACATGTTTCAGAAATACAGTCATAATTTGGTTGACATTCTAAAACTCCTCAGACCTGACTTGTGTTAATTATGATGGTAAATTTTTAATGTCATTTCAAAATTTTATTCCAATATCTATTTTCCTGAATCAAAATGGTGGGTCAGTAATTCAAACCCAAAAGAAAATGACTAAAGATAATAAAATATGAAGACTTTTCCTATACACTATTTATTACTAATAAAATGAGGTAATAGTAATAGATGAATAACTTAAAACCTTCAATATAGAAAAATATTTGGTATCACAGTGATATAAAACACATTGAATAATTACATGTTAATCTTCACTGACTAATTTTAAGCACTCTTCTGCCGATCATTTTTAGGCTAGCACAGTTTATATCATTTTAGCTCCACTCTCAAGGATAAAATTCATAGTGACAACAGTGGTTCTTGGCTAATGCAAAATCACAAATACTTTTCTCTATCTTTTAATTTCAAATAAAATATATTTTTGGTTGATATAAGTGTTCCTGGAGCTATTAAAATGTTTCATAGGCTGTGAGAACATTAGGATGGATTTTTAAAAACATCACATTACGATGTAAATTTCAGTACATGTGCTGTGGATGATTCACACTGAATGATTTTTCTGTTAAGATTTAACACAATAGACATCAGTCTCATGTTTGTCAGTGGGAATTTTTAGTTGTGCTTTTGTATTATGAGACAACGGTTATAGTTCCATGCAAGTGCCAAGAAGCTGGGAACCCAAGGAGGCTTCACTCAGCTTTCTGTGTAGTACTGTCTTCACATCAAATATTACAGATATAACTACTTCACTGGAAATGGACATAAAGACAGTACATTGACCTGATTTGTGTCTGGCACTCCTTTGTGTACTTGCTCATTTAGTTCCGTGAAATTTTATTACATATTTAGGTCCACGTATTCATCAGAGCAGTCAAGACATTGAACATTCTACTGCAGGGATCACATTTATTGCTTTTACATCAAATTTAATGGTAATCTAGGCAATGGCATTTTAATGCTCCTTCTGGTCTATCCTATAACTTATCAAGGGTATGTGAGAAGACAGAGGTAGCTATATGAATATTTCTTTTATAATCCTAAATGTCTGTTTATGCATCCTATTATTTTCTGTTTAGTTACAGCAAAAGTTTAACCAAAATTTCAGTAATTTGTTCATGTAAAGCACCATATGAAAAATAATGTTACTTGCTATAAAGTATGATACTATTTTAAATTAATTTGCTTTTCTAAGTATGTACATATTTGACACTCTTCCAGGAAATTTCCAGACTGAACATGAATATTTGAGATGTGATAATTGCAATCTGCATTAAAAAAAAAAAAAAAACAACTTTACTTTTACAATGGTTTACATGAGTGCTGCCAGCACTGCCGTAGAACAAAGATGAGATGTGGTATGTGTACAGATACTGTAGGGGTGGGGTCCTGGGAATTACAGGTAGACAAGGCTCACACCAGGAGTCCTGTCTTACAGGCACCTTCAGCTTTTCTCATGGCTGTTATCACTGCCTTTGTTAACGCTGCAGCTGTATCCACTACCAACCCAGCTCCATTTATAGCTTGGTCATGTTGGAGACACATAAGAGGCCACATTGTTGATCTACGTCTGTATACATCTTGCTGCCCCACCAATGAAAAGTCATTTGCATGGCCTCCTGCTGCTGCTCTACAAGCTCCACAATATGTATTTTCAGTAGATTTTATTAAAAATCTAAAAAAATTGTAACAGAAAATTATTAAGATTCTTAAGGTGGCAGCAATATACAACATTAAGTGGGAAATTTCAAGGTCCCATAGCTAGAAAATTGTTCTTGTACAGATTTTCCTAAGGGGAAAAAAAACTTTTAAAAAGACATTTAAAATTTATTTATTCATTTATTTATTACAACTTATTCACGTATGCCCACTGCAGCCCCTCCCTCATCCTCTCCAAGTCCCACCCATCCTCCCTTTTCTCCACCTATGCCCTTTCCCTAGTTCCCTAGCTGTCCTCTGAGTGGCTCCACCCAGCAGCAGATGCTGAGACTCACAGTCAAGCGTTGGATGAAGCATAGGGAGTATCACAGAAAAGTTGGGGGAAGGGTAGAAGAATCTGGAGGTGAGAGGAACTCCACGAGGAGATCAGCAGCGCAAACTAAACAGGGCCCAGAGGCGTTTATCGGGGACTGAAGCACTAACCAAGGATCATGCAGACTGGATCTATGCCTTGTACACAGACAAGGACAGCTCAGGATTCATATGGGTTCCCTGGTAGGGGGAGTGGGGTGGTCTCTGGCATGGTCTCTGCTGCCTGCTTTTTGATCACTTCCCCCTGGAGGGGCTGCCTTGCCAGACCACAGGGAAAGAGGATGTGCTCAGTCCTGAAGTGACTTGATGAGCTGGAGTGGGTGGGTAGGGAAGGTGCTCCACTTTTCTGATGAATAGGGGAGGAGGGAGGGGGAAGAGGAAGGGAAAGTGGGACCGGGAGCAGAGGAGAGGAGCTAAGATCAAGATGTAAAGTGAATAAATAAAGTAATAAAAAGACACAATGCTTGGTAGCATGCATGAGGCCCTATGCTCTGTCTCCAGTACCCAACACACACTACCCACTACATACACACACACAGATGCACAATACTCGTCTTTGACAATTTTACCTGAGAATTTTATTAGAGAAATAATAATATATTTTGATATTTTTCTAATTTGAGCATAAAATATTCTCTAGGCGCTTCTCCTGAAGATTTTCTAATTTTTCTAAATTTGCTAAAACATAAATTGCAGAGAAAAAAATATGAATGCTTATATAGGGTATACTAGTCTGCATGACATAACGACATTCTAACTCATATTTATCTACTTTAGCCTAAAAAAACATGAAATATATTTCCAGCCCATCAGCTTTAGCAGAAATTGTAAATTCATTACTACAGAAGGCTATTAAATACACGAATCAGTTGTTTTCATGATCTATAACAAGTATCAGTATAAATATGCTAAGCACATAAAATCTCAGTGAAATCTGAAATATAGTTCACTGAGAGTGATGTCATCACAGAGGGCCTGGAGGATATTTGAGCAAGGGAAGAAGCGAGGAGGAGGGTAAGTTCACTGAGCCGAAGGCATTTCGATCACTGTGCTCAATCTATTTCTCCAGTCATCGAAGAAATATGCTCTCACATGTAGAGATATAAGTCAGACGGTTGCATTGGGGAATTCTTATGACAAGACATAGAACAAAGAGTATTTTTTTCTGGAGAGTGGCAAGTAGGGAGGCATGGCAGCTTGTTAATTCCTAGGAGTATATGTTCATTTGAATACGTTATCCTTTTACTTTCTATATACCTGTGACTATAGTCAGGGCAGGGAACGTTTGGTCGGCTTCGGTTTGGCAGTGCTGGAAAGTGGAAACAATGAATTGACTTTGGGACTGTAACTGTCCCGTGAGTTGGGGTTGAAATAGAATTATAACTGCCTTTAAATGTGTATTTGACTGTTTCGTTTTGTTAGTATGTCTCTAAAATGATTAAATGTATGTATTTATGACAAAAATAATAACACTAGAAAATGTCTACTTTAAAGGGGAATTTTTTTTTTTACTTCTATAGTATAATAGTACAAATTTATTTTTTACTGTGAGTATGTCATGTGGGTTCCAATTAAATGTGGTCTACCTGATGTTCAGTGTTCTTTAGTCAAAGCATGTGTGAGTTCATTTTCAAAGAAACTGATGGAGCAGAAACCAAGCATGTTGGTTATAGTATCAAAATGAAGTTATCCAAAGAATCTAACCCTTCTATTAAGATATTTATGGTTGAATAGAGCTTTATTTAGACATAAAAAGAATACAATTTTGTCATTTGACATCAAACATTTAAAACCAGAGCTCAGTTTAGTAAGTATATGTAAGCTAGACTTCAATAATAGTGTATGTTTTTATCTCATCTGTGGAGTCTGGTATATAAATATTTTCCATGCTGGGGAAAATGGATTGCTCTGGGTATGTTGAAAGATGAGTGAGAGAAGAAAAGTGAGATCAGAATGTGGTAAGAGGAAGCACTGAATATGAATTAAATGCAAGGATACATATAAACCAAAATGTCGGCATGATATAGCATGATTCTTTATTTTATATGGCAGTTTAAAATATATAAAACATATGAAATATATCCATAGAAAGATTACCTTTCACTCCAAAAACCAGTGAGTGGGGGTGCTTGCTTATTCCTTGTTTTTTGGTCAATTAATTTCTTGAGTTGTTTGGTGTACTTTTTATGGCTTCTCTAATGATGATAAAATGAAAAATTTACAGTAACTAGATTTATAAATTAAAAATTAATGATGCTTAAGATCACGGATATTTTTGTCATATTTACTTTAATGTTGTACATTTTGTTAGGAAAATTTGAAGCAGATCAAAGTGTGGTCTGTCCATTAACCCACATTTTTATACTCTGAGTTCGATAACACTAGTTAGAAAATTGTTACAAGATCAA